AGAGGCCTAACTCGTATGGTGGCTGTAGACATAGGATGCCTCTTGAGTAGAGGCTCCGACATAATAGATTCTAAGTCACGATAGACGAACCCGAGTAGACCAACCACAGCGGTTAAGCGCAGAAACTCGGCAATCGTAGATATAGAATTGTCAGCCTCCTGCTCGTAGACAACGTCAGTGTAGTTGGCTAGATCAGTATATTTAGATAGATCTACTTGAGTTGGATCTAGATAACCACTGCCGATGAACTGTCTTAGATGATAGGGGATAGATAACCATAGAACCTTATTGACCGATAGACTGTCCATAAGTTCAACTTCAAATAGAGCCGTCTCATAGTCGTTATAGATCTTAGGTGAAATTACAGGTAGGTAAGGTAGATGATGTAGCGATAGTTCTCTCAACCCAGGACCTCCTTGAACTGCACATAGACGTCTGAAGAGTAGACTTCCTACGCTTAGAAAACTGTCATCAGCCTTGTAGACCTTCAGGTCGGGTAAGGAATCGACATTGAAAGCTAGAGTTTTGGGATTCTTATCCCAGACCTTAACTCTAGTTTCAGTTAGAACCTTATCCTCAGCATCCCTTAGGGGATAATAGAGATCCTTCTGTAGGGTAGACATGATAGAGTTGACGCCTAGAACTATAGAGACTAAAAGAGACTTAGACACAGTGGATCTTGGATCACAGCATATTTATCCAATGAACGGAGTGGTGGACAAATAGCTAAAAATAGATCGTAATGGCGAGCGAAATGTACAAGCATACCATGGACGGGTATTGTGTCATAAAGAGCGCATGACTCGCGCTTAGATGAAATAGACAATGCTCAAATCACAATATGAATGTGATAGTACATATCTTAATTAGAAAATAGAGTCGTGAATACATGCTCTACCGCATACAAAACGGATTTATATATAGACGAGATGGTTACTATAACTGAGTGAAACCGATAAGCATGTAGACATGGATAGACTCTATTAATTAGACCCTATATGGGTGAGCAGATTGGTGACCTTCTCAAGTAATGATCGTGTAAGGGGTCTTGAGGAGGAAGTCACGAAGATTAGTTCGTTCCTCTGAACCTCGTGAATGACATCGTCGTCCATGGTAGACAACTCACCAACACCACCAGGTTGAAGACGGAGAGGACGTATGACAACCGTGTCAGAGTCGTTAGCGTCTTCAACAACAGAAGCAAGCCCTTGATAGGTAGGAGCCGTAGAGATCACCAACCAACCTTGTCGTAGATGAACATCACTACGAACAGAGACACCGAATCTCAGAGTAGGATTTATACGCCCCCCTGGTGTGGATGATGTAACATCAGGAGTAGAACTTACGGCTCTGGAAGGTGTTGAACTGGTCCCTCCACTATCTAGAACTTCTGGCGGCTGCACCGAACTAGAGGCTTCGACTGCTGTTGAATCCTGACAATCGATAGAACCGGCCGAACCATTAGACCTCGGAGACAGTGGGAGTTCTTCACTATGCGGAAGTGGTGGACAATCTTCCCTAATGAGGTCATTAGAGCTAGATGATAACTTACCAGCAACTAGCTGTTTGGCTCGGCGTAGGGTGATTTTAGACTGATCAGTGCCATCAGTACTAGCAGGCATGGTCACAAGGTCACCGTTGGTATCCTGATAGACTCTAGTACCCTTTTCATAGTGGTCATAGATGAGAGATTGTAAGGCTCTAGCCGGTACCAAGTTCTGAGAGAAGCATAGACCAGCTTAG